TCTGAGCAAAGAAACATAGATATATTTATATATAGAGAGATTTCTTTACATTTTGTTTTGGAAAAGAATATTTCACTCCAGTGAAAGATATAAAAATCTAAAGTCATTTCATAAAATTCATTCAATTTTTTAAAAAAATATTTAAACATTTTCCAAATCTTTACTGATATAAAAAGTATGATCGGATAAAAACATTATTTGCAAATAATATGCATATTGTTCACATTTCTTGGCCATTACAAGTGGTACTAACAAACATGAAGTTATATCCCTGAAATAGAAACTATCAGAGTTTTAAACTTCAGAAAAACGTACTTTATTATGAATGCAGCTTTTCATGTTTTTATCCCATTTAACTCTTCATAGCTACAGCATATTAAAACAAGCTTGTTTACATGCAGTATCATTAGGAAAAAAACCGATATCAGATATCAGCCAAATATAGATTTATTGTGCAATAAGCACCCAACCATATACATCACATTAGATAAATACCGATTTCAGAACCTAGATCACTTAAAAAAAATTCCACATTAATTTCTTTCCTTAATTTTTTTCTTTCTTTGGTTAATACTACTTTTAATTATTTTTAAAATTTATTTTTACCTTTCTTTGTCTATTATCATGTAAATAAAATAGACACAATAATAAATTAAATAAAAATATCAGGGTACTTTTCCGTTTTGCCGGCGCAAGCGATAAAGTCGCCAATAATGGTACAACCGATGCCAAATGGAATATTCTCGCTGGTAACCTTTTACACCTCATTTTCAAAACAAGTTGCTGCTTTTTCTTATCAGATTGATTGTTTCTTTCAGTACTGGCATATAATTACATAGAATTTTTATCAGATAGTTCAGTTTTATGTCTAAGGTCATTTTCGGTAATTAAGTCAATTAGGATGCAATCACAGCGCTTAAGCCGAAAATATAGAAAAGGTAAAGTCAAGGGTTAAATTCATCGATTCTAATGAGAATGCATTAGCGAAGTAAAGATTTGCAGTTTTACATAATTTCTGAGTAAGCTATTCGTACGAATTGAAATATTTCTTGCATTTAAACTTGTGTTCCAAATTAAGATTTAACTTGAAATTAATGTAGATAATTACTGAGAGCATTAGATTTTTGTAGAGTAGTTTACGTGAAATGAGATCGCTTGGGGTCATGTGATATGAACCGGAGAATCAGGATGTTGAACCATGAAAACGTAGTAAATTCTTAAATTAATGTCTTTTTACAAATTTGCTGTCTTTATTTATTGGCTTTTTATAAAATTTTAAGCGATATTAAAATGTTTATGCCTTTGAAAAAAGAATTCTTAGAACTAACATTTTTTAAATATTTTTTATGTGTATACTGTATGTTGTCGCCAATAAAGCCTGCTTGGCGAGATTTGCGCCGGCGAAACGGAAAAGTACCAATATCAGTTACCTTTAATACATAAAACTAACCATGCACAAAATATTTAATCAAAAAATTACAGGCTATATACAGAAGGGACTACAAATTATAGTTGTGAAACAGAATTTCAAAACTATAATTTGGTCGATGACCTCAGGTGAAACAGAGTTTCAAACAGCACAACATACTCTTATGAAAAATACTCATTTATAATGTGCTTATACAAACAGTCAGCAGTAATAGAAACATATGATTTATAGAAAGTTTCAGTTGTTCAAAATAAATTTACTTTGAAGTTCACTGCCTGGATTCATCACTTGCAAACTAGCTCATCTGAAGGAACTGAGAATTGAGACACATCTTTGCGGTTGCATTAAAGTTTTTTGTTTCATTATTAAATCATGTAGATGTCTTAAATATGTTCATTTATTCTCATGTTTGATTTGTTGCATGGGATTAGTGATACAGTTCAAACATTAATTGCCTTATTTCAGTTTTAGACTTTTTTCATTGTTCTAGTTATCATGTTAATCGTATCATCATTTCATCTCAACTTCTTCACTGGAAAACGTGATAGCCAGGATCATTTTTCTCTTTTAACCAAAAATCAACTACCTTCCAGTGACACTTTACTGAATGAATTATTCACAAACAACACCATTTAAACTTGTTCCACAAACAGAAATGTGAATACAAAATTTCATTTCATATACACACACAAATAACACAGACTAACACAATAGAGTAATAAATTATAACAGACATATGTATAAAGGGAATTATCAATAACCTGAAACACAAATGGGATTTTAGTCTCAGCTCCTGCAATATTACAAAACACTAGTAAAAACTAATCAAGAGTAAATGAAAGTGGCCAAATGAGGTGTGAATCATTACACTAAACAAAAATCACGTAATGGGAAATACTTATGTTTTGCATTCAATCTACACTCTTCATCTATGACCACTGTTTAGAGAGTTTACAGTATTTGGGAGAGCTATGATTAAGAAAAGTATGGTTTAATAGTATCCATAACGATGTGATCTTATAGCATTTAAATCCTGCAGATTTTGTAAAATCCTTTAATTAGCACAATAAAGGAACATGGGTACCTGACTTCTGTAGCAGTCCCTTGGCCAGAAAATTCTATTTATTTCATTTAATGTAATCTCAGCAATTTATCTTAAAAATCAACATATATAAACATATCAGAAAATTCATATTTACGGATTCTTTCTGATGGGCACAGTTCAGTAATAGTGCCTCAGACATCAACTACAGCATTTTTCCATTGATGGAAGATCACAAATAGCATAATGAGTACTTTACAGGAAAGAAACTAATATACTGACACAATACTAGTACGGCCAATTAGTCAGATCACTTGTTTCTCACACATATGCACATCAGTTGCTGTTTGCTTCTTGCCAATCTGTGCAGAAACACCCCAAATCAGCATTCTTGACAAATTGTTACAGACGACAAGTATCGGAATACACGTGAAGAATACGAAAAACTTATGCAATTACTTGATAAAAGAATTATTTTTACCAAAAACTGCATGTTGGCAGCTGGTACTGGGCAAAATAAATTTGAATAAGACTGGACTGAAATACTGCCTGAAATATTTCTTCCCATTATTAAAAATATGATGCGTACACCACATGACTTCCTTGTATGGAATATTAAATTATACACAATTTTTTCCTGCATTTCATTTAAACTTTTTCATTAGAAATATATTTCTCATTCAATTAATTCTGTTCTCACTTTACAACAAAGCAAAAATGCACAAAATCTCAAAATATCTATATTATTAAAAATTAAAAGTTATAGATAAACATAAACCACAAAATATGGTTAAAACAATTAATTTTTTTTTTTTTCCTCAACAATTAAAATTACAGTTTCTATGCAAAAACAAGCAACTGATGAATATATCATGTTCAGAAATTGAAAAGCTCAGAATATGTTCAGGATGTTATTTGCAATGCTTGAACAGTTACTTTATGGTTAAAATTAATTTAATGGTACAATAAGTTTTGCTATACAGTCAAAAGTCGTTAATCCGGACTCGTCAGGACTTTGGTGATTCCGGATTATCGATTTTTCCGGATTATAGATCATCACTTTTTACAAAATTAAAAATATAAAACCGTAATTTATGAAATAAAGAACAATTATGATCTAAAGGGTATCAAAATTTACAAAAAGAAAAAGCTTAATATTTATTTGTTTACTTTATTAAACATTTCTTTCATCGTAAGTTGTTTAAGTTACTTCGTTTCATGTGATAATACTTTCTCTTTAATTCTATTAAACAGACATAATTTCTTGTTTAGTTACAAAGTTTCGCTGTTCAAGTACTATAATTGCTGTGTCGAGAATACCGACTAATTTGTCAATCAAATTTTTTTGTTTTCAATAACCTCTGTCATTTTCTTCACTATCGGAAGCAAATTATAATGATGAGGAACTTGTTTTAAATCATATCAAAGACGGAGTACATCGAGATGAAATACTACATTTGGTAAGGAATTATAAGCCAAATAAAATAAAAACATCTGCCCTGAAGATAAGGATAGTGCCAACAGATGAACTTCCAATTCACTGCGCGCCGCGGCGTTCCCCCCGCCGAGCAGTGTGAAATTGATAAACAGATTTCGTATTTCGAAACATACTTTCGCTTTAGATCCTTTACGTATTAACAAATATATATCGGAAATTCTATTTGATATAATCAAAAGTTTAAGCTTACTTTTATAAAATTGCTCTAACAGTTTGCAAAAAATAATAAGCCGGATCCAATTTGAAGATTAAGGAACAACGCAATCTGCAACATTAACTGAATTAGATAACTTTAGCTTAGCTTACACCGTCCGTTATACATTAAACGCGCATGCGTAAACGTTTTATGAGCATGCACACAAGCATATTTGCAGCCGTAAAGGTCTTACGCGCGCACGTAAACGCCTATGCACATGAGTCAACGCGGCGCATGCGCAGAAAGTTTGTAGCTTTGAGGTCCGGATTATAGATCATTCCAGATTATGGGTGTCCGAATTAACGACTTTTGACTGTATAGATCCCAAACTGGAAATTATTGAAAGTCGTCAATTAAATGTTATATCATACAAAATATCTCCAAATAATTCTAAAAATTTTTTATTTTGGTCATACAGAATTTGAATTTCAAGTGCCAAATTGCATGTAAAAGCAAAGACTGAAATAAGTATAAAAAGATAAAAAAATTGTCTTTTACAGATAACATATTAAGAAAGTTACTCTTTAAATAAAAAAAAGAGGGAAAGAAAGAGCACTGATAGGGAACTTGATGGAGAAGAGGAGATCTAACTTGATTTGAAGGGAGAAAAAATAGTAAATATAGAGACAATGCTAAATGACATGGCTGGAGATAAGGGAGGGAAATGACATAAGACCATATGAAATGGAGTGCAAAATTAAAAACCTTATGTACCAATTTAATATAAAAATAATTAGTAAATGAATATAAATATTTAACTTTTAGAACAGTAACACATCCAATAAAATAAATAAAGAAATAAAAATTCTATACACGAAATAATACAAACAATTACTTTTTCCCATCCTTCACGAGCATGAAGATCCTTTGCTTCAAAAAGATTACCATCTATGGCAAGAAGAGAAATTTGAGAATCAGTGAGTATTTTTTCAGGAACAGCTTGTAACTGAAGGCAGTTTTCTTCTAAACGTAGGACTTTTAATTTAGTACACTCAGCTATGGCTTCAGATAAAACTGCAATCTGAAAATTAAACAAAACTATGAAATAAAAATGCATCAATATTACATAATCTGAAAAGTAATGAAATTTACTTATAAAATATATGAGATTAAATGTATCTTAAACTAAGCTTTATTTGAAATTAATACCATGGGCATTTTCACACAGAAAAGAAGTGTTAATTATAAATTCTGTAAAATAAACATTTTAAAACAAAGCCAAAATTGTTATTTATGACTGAAAAATAAGGGAGGCAGAAGCAATAATGTTTTTAAATGATTGTAAATTATCCTTAATAATATAGGGAGTCCCTTTTTTTAACTTAAATTTTTAGCCCTAGGTAAATCACCACCAGATTTCATTTTAAGATAAGGCTAAATAATGAAATATAATATTAACTCTTTTAGTGCCAAATGATTAACAAGTGGCCACTTTAAATGTCTTTCCTTTGATAGTGGCAGAAAAATCCACCTCACTTGTAAAAAATGCTGTAACCATCCAGCTTCCCTGGATCACATGGGTTGAATCGGACTTTGTAAGGGGGACTTAACATCTGATCCCCTTATTGTTATTCAGTTTTTGGCTGTTAAGAACCTTCTGGAGCTGAACATCAGATCTTTTGAGGATAAGCAACAACAACAACAGTACCAAATGAATTTCAACTAATGCAGTTAATCTTCATCAATTCACTTAAACAAGAAATCAGTAAAAAGTAAATAAATTATAGCTAAGAATAATTTTAAGAGTTTCTACAGTTTCATATTCCATACATTAAAAATAAAACTTACTTGATTCTGATTTAAATTAATTTCAATAGCTGATATTTCTTTAACATGATCTGGAACTTCTACCAGTTTATTATGAGACATGTCAAGTAATTCAAGTCGTTTCATGTTTGAAAAAACAGAAGGCAATTCTGTAAACTTGTTTTTACTCAGATTTATTGTTCTTAAATTGACCAATTGTGCAAATGATGAAGGGAGAGATGTCAATTCATTCATGCTGAAATTTACAGTTTCAAGCTTCTTTAATGTTCCAATTTCTTCAGGTAAAGAAGCTGAAAATTTTTTTAATAATAGTTATTGAAAGCATTACATAAAATAAAAAAAAAAAAAATAAAAAAAAAATTACAATTTTATTAATAAAATTATGGTCCATTTTCTAAGAAAGGAATCTCATATAAGAAAAGTAAATAAATACCAAAAATATCAAATAAAAATGAAATAATATCATAACGTTAACCAACTCAATTAAAAGTATATAAATGTTAATCCCCGACTGTCATAATCACAAATATGACACATTGAAAGAGAAAAAAGTAATAAGATTGTAATAATGAAGAGAGAGAATCTTATAACTGAAAGGGATGATGATTTCAGAAACCACATATTTTGTTTCTTTGAAATTTAAATGTAGTCAGAAACAATATCCCTCCCCTTCTAATCCTGCCTCATCTTTTTTGCTTATACAAAGTGACAGATTAGATATGTCAATGAAAGCAATAAGCTAGGTATAAACTATATTTATTTGAAGCAAATATTGATAAAAGATGAACAGGAAGCTAAAGCAGTTAAAGATGACTTCACCAAACATTTCCATTAATTACTCAATAATTAAAACCTAAACTTTCAAGCATGTTTGTCAGGTATGTGATATAAAGATCATTACAGTGTAATTGCTTTTCTTACAATATCTGCATTGACACTTATTCTTTCTTCTTTGTGAAAGTAAAACAGATTCTTTGTTTTTGGTATAAAATTTACAACAAATTATTCTAAACAATTTGTAATGATATACTTATATGATGAAACTCCTACCTGACCTCAGATTTTGAGCACACTTTTAATCTGTCTGCATTAAAGACAAGTGATAATTTTTGATTGATGACACTAAGCTCAACAGATGATATTACCACTACAATGTCTCATTCTTTTCAGTTGCCACTAAAATTAGTGGCATTAATTCAAGAAATAACAATCTTTAAAGATATGTTGTTACATTGAAATAAAATTTATTAGTATTTGAAAAACTTTTCTATTGTGAAAACATAATTAACCTCATGATTGGCATTGCCACAAAACTAGAATGTTGATAAGAAATGTGTTTATTTCCAAGAAACTAACAAGCATATGCAATTAAATGTTGACAATGAAAATTTTGGAAGCTTCAGTGCATGGAAAAAAGTAAAATAAAGGGAATGTGGGCTTTGTGAGTAACAACTAACTTCCTTTGATAACTAAATAACATTAGCCACACAAAACATATTAAATTCACAGTGTTTTTTTTTTTTCAATAATTTCTGACTGTAAAATATTATAATACCATCAATGTACGAAAAACAGGCATTCTATAGAATGTCTAGACCAGGGGTTCTGAGCTGGGCAGAATTTCATAGTTTAAGCAGAAGGGGGAAGATGTGGATTGGATTGGATTGGATTATTTAATTACGGCAAAGCACACGAGGGCTATCTGCCTAAAGGGAGGGATGCCTTCGTGAAGGACTTTCTAAGGGAAACTGGCTCGTATACACGTTACACATGGGAAAAACCACAAAAATGCCCATGCAGCCAGCCCGTTCGCGGGATTCGAACCTCGGACCGAACTACCAGTGTTCAGCGTCTTTAACACTCGGCCGCTGGTGGGCCTGGGAAGATGTGGTCGGCCTTTTTTTTACCTATTAAATATTTAATTTAGAGTGTGAATATATATAAAAAAAAAACTACTTTTATTCAAGTTTTGGTGCTTATGAACATTTTTTTTCTTTTTTTTCTTTTACTGTATAAATCTGCATATAAGTTGACAATTTTAAGGGGAAAAAAAACCAAACTTTGAAGTAGGGAGTCGACTTATACAAGCAATAAGTTGCCTCCCATGATTGTTTTAAAGCAAAAAACGTTATAAAAAAAGACAGCATTTCCGGCAGGTGTTTGCAGCCAGAAAAATTATTGGATGGACGAAACCCTAAAGATTGATTGGCTTCCTATACAATGTCTAGATGGCACAGAAGATGATGCAATCTATCCAAGTGACAATAATGATACTAGCTGTGATGAATCAAGTGATGAAACTCATCACCACTCGTTAATGACTGAAAAAGAATTTCAGGATTTATTTGCAGATTCTGACTTTGAATCTGAATTTGAATGAAATTCTTTGAAAATTTTATATATATATTTTAAATTTTATTATGTGCTAAAACGAAAATAAGCAAAAAGTGTGAGTGCAATTTTATCAAGTACATCGGCATGCTGTTCTATCAGCAGCGATAGTGCCACTCATGCAACAAATTTCTTTTTCTGAAAATGTTTCTCAAAAGTCGGGTCAATTTATATGCAGGTATATATGGTAATTTATGAAACACATTAAAAATAATCCAAATTTAAATAAATGTATTATGTATTTTTGAAGTTTGGGAGAAAGGGGGGAATGATCATCTAAGAATGGTAAAAGGGGTGCATGGGGCAAAAATGTTGAGATAACTGGTCTAGACATCATATAGGATGCCTGATATTTTTGGACACAGCATCCAAATTATTCTAATGCATATTATTCTAATGCAAATTATTCTAATGCATATTTTCCTTAAGCATTTTATGTAATATTTAGAAATTATATAGAATGACAAATGCTATTTGAGCAAAATATTAAAAAAAAAAAAAGATTCATGAAAAGACTTTTCTTGAAAACGCCTATATGAAAATGGAAGAAACACAATCATTAGTCATCTTGGCATTTTTCATATTGCTCACTTACTTCTGTTAACTAGTTCCCATTAACAAAACAGAGCTGTTTTCTCCCCTTCCAGCATTGGCTTTTTTATAGACAGTTTATTTTAGCACTGCTATTACATATTGCCGTGCCATGATTCCTTCTAGGATATCAGATCTTAGTCTTCCATTTCATACAAAACAATATGGGCTTAGAGTCTTTGTCAAACAAATTAAAAGTAGCATCTTTAATTACTCAGAAATAAAGACTGAAACACAAATGGAAAATTCTCTGACGTGAATATCAAATGCCACGTGCCTTGCCACGTGACATTTCAAATATCATTAATGAGAGTATTTTATAGTTTGTCTACATGTTATTTCTCATTACACAGAATGCCTACGAAATGTATGAAATATTAATTGTTTCACACTCTGACATCCCATATTCGACATTCTATACAATGCCTGCTAAACTGCTGGGAACAGCCATAATTCCCTCCCATCTTATATGAAGCAACAATATAAGCAGTGAGAACTGTCACGTTAAAAAACTCATGAATATGCCATAAAGCAGATTAATAAGACTGAATGAAGAATAAAGCTTTAAGGAACATTCAGATGTTAAAAAAAAGAAAAGGGGGAAGAGAGAGAGAGAGAAAAATGGAAAATCTGGACATGCAGCAGATGAGAGGAAATCTGTGAAATGAAATAATTAGTAGCTCTATCATTAACTCCAAGTGGAATGACTGCCTTTATGCTGACATGACCTTTTTTGTTAGTACATTAGTTTACAATTTAAATTAGTATTTCCTTGCTATCTGTTTGATGGCACTTTCATGGTCGATGGGATAATATGTTAAGTACCTACTTAGGTTTCTATCTCGAAGACAAACACATCAATGCAAAATTTAAAATTAAGCAAAACAGGAATTTTAGATCAGTGTAGATTTTGAACAAAACTCTTTTGATATCAAGGATAATCAGATATTCTCTCTCTTTTAGGAGGGAAACTATTCCTCCCCAGACTCTCACACATTACCAAATTTAGCTATTGTACAATTACTACTTAAAACATAAATATATGTTTACTGATCAATTAATAAATATCATTATGTATTTATACGATAAAAGAAGATTTATGCAATTATTAAACGAGGGATACATATATAGAGTACATATATAAGTCCGAAATCCATACCGAGTATACATATATAAGTCCGAAATCCAGACTCGTCGGGACTACGGCAATTCAGGATTTGAGATTTTTCTGGATATTAGATCATCAGTTTAAATCTAGTAAGATCACATGTAGAAATTATAAAATTAAAAAGATGAAATCATGATTTATGAAATAATGAAGTATTTATGATCTAAAGGGTATTGTTCATGCGATGCGTGCATTGTTATGCAACAATTTCAAATTAACTAGATATGGACTGTACTAATTAATATTTTATTCGACAACTTTAATCACATGCGTGCCATCTTTCAAGCAATGGCTTACTACTAACAGCAATAAAAAACTGAGCAAGCGGTTACAGGGTTGCTGTAATGAACATCTGCACCATGCAAGGCACCAAGAAGAGAAAAAATTACATAATCTTACAGTTAAATAGTCCTAATGACTTAACAGGTATCAAAATAAAATAAAATATAAAAAAAACTTAATATTTATTTGTTTACCTTATTAAACATTTCTTTCAATGTAAGTTGTTTAAGTTGCTTAGTTTTTTGTGCTAATAATTTCTCTTTAATTCTGTAGACAGACATAGTCTCTTGTTCAGTTACATTGTTGAAGTCCTGTAACTGCTGTTTTGAGAATTCCGACTAACTCCTCAATCGAATTTTCTCATTTTCAGAAACTTCTCTGTCACTTTCTTCACTATTGGAAGTGATATTTTCTGTATCCAGAACCATACTACAAATTTTGCCATTCATTAATTGATTGGTGATTGAGAAGCTTTGTTATCACAATGAAAAACTTCTTTTATATCATCTTCATTTATTACCATTTCTCGACATTTCTTAACAAAATCTGTTAATTGGAAAATTTCATCTTCATTTTGCGATATCCGAAAACCTTTAAAATTAGTGGCTATCATCATCAAATTTAGCTATCCTTCACTATACATATTTGGCTATGCATCATGAGCTTGGCGAGTAACGACAAGTTATTCCATTAAATTTTATCTTGCTTCACTAAGACAATTAAGCCTGAATTGTATTAGTTATTTATTATACTTATGTCTATTTCTTGCACATGCTTAAAGCTTTTCAGAGTTTTGAATAAATAAATTCCTATATATACTTAAGCCTTATTGAGAGCCGACACTAGATATCATACTACCTGATGCAGCCTCTGTGACTCAATGTAGCCATATGAGCCCTGGCGCTGGTTCTGGGTTTATGTGAATAACAAATTAGTTATTTGTTATTAAATTAAATTACTTATTCTTAATTCAAATAGCCCTAAATGTAATCTTTGGGTCTCTGAGTATCATCAACAAAATCTATTTTTAGCATATGAAAAGAAATTTTTGGCAAAGTTTTCCTCGTCAACATTTTTTAGTGCGTTTAACTTAAATCTGTAATCAATAACAAGCGTAATGTCAAAATAAAAGGTTACCAAACTCCTTTATTATTCAATTACTAACATAAAAAAATGTTTAGGCAACACTACACGAGTCATTACTCAAGTTGTCATGTTTCGATAAGCATGTGGTGATGAAAGGAAAGTATAATAAATGATTCGCCAGATTGGCATCAGATCAACGATGTATCTATGTGAATGTTTGAGATATATGCCAAGCAGATACGCAGCAACAGAGCTAAATTTATGCTAAATTGATTTTTTCTTCAATAACAAGGTATTTTATTTAGAGTTGAAGTGAAATTAAGAAACAAGACTGCAGATGTTTTATTATGCACAGAGGGGGGGGAAATCAAATGCGTATGTGTAAAGCCTACGAGAAGAAACGTTGTTGGTGATTTTGAGGTCCGGATTTTAGATTATTCCGCGTATCGGACGTCCGGATTTTGGACTGCGTACTGAATAATTATTATACAAGGAATGTTAGCCAAAAAGGAATCATAAAATATTTAATCAATTCCATTAATTTTTAAGCTTAAATTGTATTTCATAATAAAAATGCATAAATGATGATTTTAACATTCTCGTTATTTTTTTTTAATTACTTATTTTTAAAATCTCAATTCTTCCATGGATTTCAGATGAAATAGCAAATACTAATAAAAATGAGTTAATTAAAATATCAACAAAAAGTCTACTTTATAATAAACTATATATATATAACTTAATCTAATAAATATTTAGAATGCACAGTAAATAAATATCAAGATATTCTAAAAATAAGAACATATAAATCTTTATTATCTTATAATGGTACCTAAAAAAGGCAGATGCAACTTACTAATTCTTATTTGGCTAGCTGACAGGTTCTTTAGATTTGTAAACTGTCCAATAGATGGAGGTATGTTTCCAATTTTATTATTTGACAAATCTAATGTCCTTAGAACTCCAACTACTTGAAACAGCTCTCTTGGAAACTAAATAAGTAAAAAAAAATTATATCTTACAGAAAAAAGTTTAAAGAATATTATTTTTCATTTGAACATATTTCAGTTATTAAAAAATTCAGATTGACTTTGCTGAGAAAAGAGTACTTACAGTATATATAAATTCATTTCCAATAAAATGGCAACAAAATTCATTTTTAATATAATTATATGCTGCAATATACTTTAGGGATAGAATATACCAAATTATCAATAAAAAATCTTTTTAACCCAAAAGAGCTATTAATCTCAAAACATGATTTTGTGAGATTAGTGGATCTATATTAAGCTGACCTCCATCATTTAGAAAACGTTCCAAAAATTCTCGACTTAAACATAGAATTGGTTGGCCTATAATTAAAGGTGCCCTTTGGATTATCGCTAAGTTGTTTCATTTATCACCAAGTTGTTGTTTCAATTATGGAAACCTGAGTAGTTGAATGTTATGAAATCCCTATTATGACATAACTGGTTGTGTGATTTTGGTGAATTTGACTGATGGGAAGAGATTTGTAAGGGCATGTTTGTGTGTTGGATGTTGGTTAGTAAGTACGTTGCTCATTTTGTGGTTTACATTGTAAAATAGCTGAATGTGGTATGATTAATTTGAAGTTTCTGCATGATTTGGAAAGAAAGGGAAAAGAAACATTTATTGACAGGCATGTAAATGAAGGTTTACTTAAGAGCCATTACAAGTGTCCTGTTTGTACGAAGAAAATGCATACGGAGAATATTTTTTACTCTTATTTTTGTGAATTTATGTGGTGATGCCAGTATATAGATTCTAGTTCAGATAATTTTAGGAAGTTTTTGGATGCTGTTAAGGAATTTCGTTTGAGGGAAGAGAAGGAAAATTTCTAAATAAAGTAAGTAAACATTTCCTTTGTGTACTGCTTAGATGCTATAACATGAATTTCCTTTTTTATGTTATTTCATTGTTTGATTTAAAATGTAGTTTATTGAGATCATATACTTTTTGTTTGGCTCTAGAGTAGAATTGGCAGCTCCTTTTGCTTTAACTTTTTAAGCGAAAATAGATCGATGTGTACATGGTTAAAGGGAGTGAGCAATGCTGAGTTTGAGAAATTCTCTGATGTTTTTTTAAGTGAAAATAGGTCGATGTGTACATGGATACCGAAATTGTGCAATTCTTTGACTTTTTATTTTGGCTTTGTGTAGCAACGATTTTTGGATTGCACAAACTTGGTGTCTATGTACCACAAAAAATCACCAATTTTTGCCAAGGGGCACCTGAAAATATATTTTTACAAATGGAATTATATGGTATTTAGATATCGTAGGAAAAGATACAATTCGACATAAAAGGTTTCATAATAAAAGTGCCAATAGCAATTACAACTGTCAAGTTTATATGCAAATACTACTCAATTCACTTTACTGTACTGCACTAGATATACAAGACAAGACTAACTAAATCTTTATTTATACATGCATAGCTCACCAAATCCACTAGTTAGTATAGGTTAATTTTTTTGACTTGGAGGTGAGTTACATATGTTTTACAAATAACTTTAAAACATGAAAAAATACTATTAGCATAGAAAATACTGAATAAGTGATACAAAAGTTCACAGTTCTTTTGTTACAAAGATCTTATTCACAATAAATTTGTACATGAAAATCAATTGGTAAAAGTATAGTTTAGTGTACCCCTTGGCTAAATTTGGCGATACACGGATACCGATTCTTTGACTAGTTATTTTGGCTTGCGATTTTTGGTGCAAAAATCGCCGCTACACAAAGCCAAAATAACAAGACAAACAATTGCACAAACTCGGTATCCATGTACACATCGACTTATTTTCATTTAAAAAAAAAAATACCCGAATTGCACAAAAACGGCATTGCGCACTCCTTTATCCACGTACACGTCAACCTATTTTCACTTAAAAAACAATCCGCCGAATTGCACAAAAATGGCATTGCTACCTCTTTTAACTTTATCCATGTACACATCGACCTATTTTCACTTAAAAAAAATCCCAGAATTACACAAACTTGCATTGCGCACTCCCTTTACTTTGTCCATGTACACATCGATATATTTTCACTTAAAAAGTCTAAGAAGCAAAAAATTCTACAATATAGGCAAACAAAAAATACATAATCTCACTAAAATAAATTTTAAACCAAACAATAAAATAACATAAAAAAGGAAAAACATGTTATACATTTAAGCACTATCAAAAGCAAATATTCACTTATCATGATTTTCGAGTTCGCTTCGTATACCCAGAGCCACGTAAAAATCAAAATATCAATCATATTCAAATGACTTTTTTCAAACCAGGTACTCTTTCTGATCGAATGCTTCACAAAGTGACCATCTGAACATTTCTTCCTACAAACCCATTCGAATCCATCTAAACGGTTTTTACGTTCGACTAGAGGCATATCCTTCCTACATACAGGACACTTATAATAGCTACTAAGTAAACCTTCATTTACACACCAGTCAATTAAAGCTCTTTTCCCCTTTTGCTTCAAATTGTACAGAAACTTCAAATTAATCTTACTACATTCGGTCATTCTGCCGTCTAAAGAATCAAACCAACACATACCACAAAAACGCTTACAAAACATCCCATGATTCAAAATTTCCCAGAATCATGAACCCGATTATGTCACAATAGGGTTTCCATAACATTCAACTTCTCAGGCTACAACTTGGTGATAAATCAAACAACAACTTCGCCATAATACAAGGGGTACCTTAAAGTCTACTCTAACCAATCAATCACTTAATCAGTACTTTTGCAGTGCTTTTTTGTTAAGAAACAGGGTATGGAGAGTTACAAAGAAACTTTTTTTTTTATTCTGGTGATTTTCCCCCCTTTGTTTCATGATAATGTTATGCCCCATACAGCATTGTCTAAGCATTCCACTGTGCTAAAATGCCCACTATATTCCAACTTATCACCAGCTGATTTTTCCTTTTTCTGAAGCTTTATCTTTTTTAAGATGGCCAAGAAAGAACAAAAATTTAAAAATGACTCTGATATTAAATCAAATATAATGCATATTTTGCAAATGGTTATTTTCAGAGCCTATGAAGGCCTATTCGATTACCTGAAGAAATGTTGGAAAGATTGTGTAGACTCTTCTGGCGATTATTTTGAAGGAGAAAAATTTATTTGAAAGTTAGTAATCCTTTTTTATTTTATAAGAAACTGTCCAGTCACTTTATGAGCATACCTTGCATTTTGATTTTTCAATCAACAGAAAAAGAAGATATAGTTGGAGTATGATACAATTTTTAGAGCAGCTGCTGAACTATAGCCATCAGAAGCAGTCTGTAAAAAATTACCGTATTTGCCGGCATATAGACGCACCTTTTTATCTTTGAAAATAGGTCTGTAAAACGGGATGATTCTTATATGTGTATACTCAGTTTTTGGTTACCATCATTTCTGGAAATTTCCGATATTTGGAGTTATGCGATTTGTTTTCTTGCTTCTTTGCGGCGTGTGGGAATATTGTAGTTATGCAGAGTTCAGTGAATGTGCATGGGCTGACATCAATGATCACATTGGATGGTACAGAGAACAATTTGTTGTATGAGGACTCAGAAGATGATTTAAAAGAGGCTTCAAGTGACTTTTCATTTAGCTCTGGAGATGAATGTCTCAGTTTTGATGAAGAAAATTAAAAGGTGTTCTTTCCCAGATAGATTGGGTATTTGAAAAAAGTATTACATTGTATTTGTATTACTTTATATTTAAAATACTGTAAATTCATTATAATGATCAGTAATACAGTTTTATCCTTCAAAAATGTGTATAAAAAAGCGGTGCGTCTTATATGCCAGCAAATATGGTAATTTTCCACTATGTTTATATATATTGTCTTTTTAAAATAAATTGCTAACAAAATTGCATTAAATAAAATAATAAATAGAATTTTACAGTGTGTTTAATAATAAACTGAATTTTCTGGCATGCTTATATATGTTATTTCAAATCAGTTGCTTAATAAATTGCATTAAATGTGATAACTGATGTATATACTAAACAAGCTTCACTGAATTATGCTGTTATTTTTAATATATTGCGCACAAAATTGTATTAAATATTATAATAAAATTCTTCTATATGTATATACACTGGTTTCCAAAAGTTACATATGCATTACAAATGAGCAACTTTTGAAAGCATAATTAAATATGAGTGGCTGAAAACTACTGTGAATGCAGATGGCAATATCAAATACCTTATGTTATAGTCAATTCTTTTATAATTTTCCTCAGATAATGCAAAATTTGAAAGACCAATATTTAAAGGAAAAAAATATTCTACAAGATGTTAGACATCTTGTAGCATTTCTCTAAGGGTTTAGTGCCGTGAGATCATGTAAGAGGATAATCATGTTTCTTAACCATATAAATGAAGAAAGCAATATTAAAATAATTAAATACTATAATTGTACATGTAAAATACCTTAACTAGTTAAACCCCTATATTACTAAAAGATATAAGATGTGCATGATGCAAATTTAAATAAAAGTTGTGATGAAAACAGATTGAATATTAGATACAATATAGATACAATAATATAATAGCAAATGCCACAAAAGAAATAGAATAGCTAAACGTAGAATCAGCTATAATCTATTAGACGAATGACAGATTCTGATTATTGCATATGCCTGCAAGGCTTCTGACTCTGGTAATCTCAAATTTATCATATAATTCTTTGCAATCCTATTTTTCCATCATGAAAACAACATCATCAACAAAAATCGTCATTGAAGGATCTGCAAAGGAATAATATATTTAATGTTTATTTTTAAATTACTCTAGAAAGCCAAATTATTAATATTTATCTTTTTTTTCTTATGCTGTTTATGAAATATGAAACGTTTTTATATCTCGACTATAAAGTGGAGGGAAAATAGATCTCAGAACTGAGTTAAATTGTGATTAGTCAGTCATTTAACACACTTTTTCGAAAATTTCTGCTTTAAGAAAATTGCGTCCTTTTCGTGAGGTAGAACAAAATAATTCATATTGTTTATGTCTCAATAATTTACATATTCAAAAAGAAATTGTTGCATTCCAGAAGAAATTGTATTGCGCACTCCCTTGACATTATCCATCTACACATCGACCTATTTTCACTTAAAAAGTCAAAGAAAATTGACAAAAATTCAATTCTTCTTACTCCTGTAAAAAGCATCAAACAAATAAGTGGGCGATTACCCAAATTGTAATTGACATATTGCTCAGAAATGTCTTTTCAAATTTAAATAGAAATTTAGAATAGAATTCCAAAACGCATAGATGAACAATTTATTCTGATATATTATATTTCCTGATTTAAATTGTGTATACTATTATAAAAATTTTAGAGAAAAATTACAGCTGTTAAAGACAGATTATATTTCTACCTCTGTTAACCCAATATTTGCAAGCTGAAGCACCCCAGTCTTTTCTGCATTTTTTATATGTGGTTTTATAGCGTTTCCCATATTTGAGACAGATTAAATGTTGATGAAAGGTCATCAAATTACTGGAAAACAGGTTGTACAATCCTATCTATCAACCACTCAGCAATTTCATATTTACTTTTTACGGAAGTTTTATGGATGAGTTGAGTAGATGAAATCCAGATCATCATGGAGGAAAAAAATGTTTTTCCTTTTCTCGACTTTATTTTAATTTTATTTCTTTTTCTAGTACCTGACATTAATTACAGAATCTCAGAGAAATATGTGATCTTAAACTAAGTTAAAGACTTAGATTAGCTATAAAAATCAAATTTGTAATTTTCGAATCAGATTCCTTCTAAACGATTGAAAGGCGATAAAAACTTTATTCTCAAACACGAAACAAGGAGAAAGCAATTGCAATATTTTTTTTAATGAGAAATGGTTATTCTTATATACAAGCTTTACAAAAATCGAGTAACGGCAAACTTGCAAATGTTTTTTCGTACGTGAGTTGGCAACATTTCCTATTTGTAGATATTACAGCACCTGTGCTGGCAAATTTTATTTTATAGGACTACTACTAGTACCAAAGAATATCGGGTGAAGCCGTGCTTCAGAAAGCCGTGCTGATTGTTCTCTCATTTTGTAAGTATGACTTTTGATATGCGACCAGTCAGCTGATATGTCGAAATATAAACCAGAAGGCACCGATAAAGCAGGCAATTGCCTGAACAAACCAAAAGCAATTTCTCCTGATCCTACAGAAATTGATACATTTCTACAACGAATAGCAGAACTCCGTAATGCAGTTACTGAAGTTAAAAAAATGCCGATTACACGCGAAAGCGTAGAAATCCGACGACAATTGAAAGCCGAACTTAAAACACAGGAATCGCTTCTGACGACGGTTATGCCAAAGAAAACGATGGATAAAATTCTCGCAGCTTATCCGCCAACCAGTACGAGCAATTCTGATACACAAGATTGGACTACGGTTAAACGTAAAAAACGATCCAGACATGATAGCAACTTCTCTATAGAATCTCAAGCGCTTAGTACGAGTTCGCGATTAGATTCCCTCAATAATGAGGAATTACTCGACGACAAAATAGAAGATGTCACGAAAGCCAAAAGATAAATGATTTAACTAAGAAACCGCTAGATAAAAAATACGAACGTGATTCAAAAAGATCTATCCATCCACTCTTCATCACTGATAAAGAAAGAAATTGGCATGAACTTAAAAAGCACATAAAAGAAAATTTAAAAGTTACCAACTTAGAAAGTAAAGTAGAAGGCGATAACATCATGATCCAACTTTTTAAGCGAAGATGATTTCCGTACCGTACAAGAATATTTCGAGAAAGTACCCATCCCATTTCATACATCCCTAATCACTTGCGAGAAAAATCTCAAATCAGTTATCAAAGGACTTAACAGTCCACACTCCAATAAAAGAAATTAAGGAGGAACTTAAGTGTCGAGGAATAACTGTACTTAAACTGCATCAATTGCAGCGTATGCGTAACGACGTCCCAACCATGCTACCTGTGTTTATTTAGAAACTCCGAGAAATGCTAAAGAAAAAGAAGTCTTCAATATCACTCACATAGCAGATATGAGAGAATCCACATAGTTGGTTACAAGAGCAGACAGGGCCGGTACAGTACTTCCGGTGCAACGATATGGTCACACACAGAGGAGCATGACCACTCCTCGATGTGTTCGTTGCTTAGAATCTCATCAAAGCTACCAATGTCCCATCAAAGGTAAAGCAGAAATCCCAGAAGATGTGTCCTGTGCAGTGGTTTTCATGCGGCCACTAGCCCCGATTGCCCTGAACACCCCAGCAAAAAATTTCAGAATAAGCAAAAAATCCCCCAACAAAAGATTTCCCGAAATTCACTGAAAACGAAACAGCTCAATCGAAGAAACTCTCAGAATCCTGCATCAACATAACGAGCAACAAAGTTAAAGAAACAGAAATCCTTCATATTTAAACTAAAAGATCTCTATCATAAATTCATTAATGTCCAAAGCGAGAATGAAAAATTTGAATTTGCATTACAGACACTTCAACTCTTTGTTTAAAGAGTTTTAAGCGATTTTTGACAAGAAAAGCATAGCTGAGCGAGTTAGACCCAACTACTTCATATAACAGTATATATCTCGTTGGTTAGACCCATGACTCTTTTGCACTATGAAGATCAATAAAATCTTTATTATTAACGTCACAATCCCTCAGATTGTGACGTTAATAATAAAGATTGTCTACTTCTAAGGGGTAAGCTATGTAACGTCACAATCTGAGGGATTGTGACGTTACATAGTATACCCCTTAGAAGTAGACAATCTTCATTATTTCCTGAAAATGTTAAGCTTTAGCGTTAATGGGGGAAAAAATCTGAAGGGTTTCAGATTTTAAATCACGTACAAAGGGGCTTTCCCCCCCTATTTTGTGTATTACATTTATTTATTAAATATTATGTCCTACGTATTCAAACTTTAAAATTCAGTTCAACACTAATATCCCAAGTTAATTTTAAAATGAGGCGTATCTTCAGAATTTTCGATACAGAGTCTCATTCGCTGGAGATAAAAAAATTCTTCGTACAGTGTTGCCGTTGCTCGCTTTCAAATCGTTTAGTTTTTTTTTTTAATTAAAATTTCGTTGAAGTGTTACAAAATCTGAAATTGATAATAAAACAAATTTCAAATTCAAATTAGGGCTTCCGAATGCCCATATTTTTTGGAAGATTACGTTATTCAAATTTTGATGGCTCTAGGTACCGTTGTTTTATCACAATGCGAGAAACATACGTACATTTATGCAGATTCTTCGTTGTTTAATTTCTTTAAATATAAGACAGGGCCATAATATATGGTGACAACGATTTGAAAAGTGATACAGCTTTTTAAGTTTTCGACGCAAAATGCCGAAACGAAATTAATAGTCCTTCAGGGCAAATTGCCCCTTTGGACTAAAAATAATTTTTTTACAGCAAATGAACTTCATACGCAGCTTTCAATTCACTATTTTTAAAATTCTTAAATGATATCATATTATCTATACACATATTAGTTAGTATTCCATATAGGAATAAACGGAAAAAATATAGGTACTTTTTTGTTATCGAGATCAGATTCCGAAATGTATGGATGTATGTATGTGTGTATGTATGTGAATATATGTTTACATATATATGCATACGTACACTCGTACTTACATCCATGCATACATGAACGCATCCATCCATGCATACATATACTATATATATTGTTTGGTCCTGATAACAGAACAGTTCCAAAATACATTTTCTCGAAATAAGAAAAATAAGATAGAATAATAAAAAATACAAATTTGGAATAATGCGCAAAGTTTTAAGTAAAAAAAATGTAATATCTAGGGCAGTTACAATAGCAAACACTATGTATTAAAATAATGAGATAAAAGTTACTTGTCGGGTGCAAGGTTTCAGTCTTCTAAGTAGAATTAAGAAGATCGCCAAACTATCGATATATATCGTAAATAAGAAAATATAGCCCATATATAAAAAAAAAACATAAAACAGAGTTTAAAATACAAAAGTGATGACTAAAATTAAAATTCATAGTTAAAAAAATAATACAAATTAAAAATACACGCATGAAATATTAAACATTGTACATAATACACCATACATTATTTTGTTCTCCTCTTATTCACAGCAATCTATTTTCACTAAAAAGAAAAATCGCAGAATTGCACTAACTCGGCATCGTGCACAGTATTTGCATATCGTCATTGCATATCAGCCATGATCCCCTAAAACAGTTGAAACTTCAGCGTATAACTATAATGTAATGTAAATAAAACAGGGTTCCAATTTTTAACTTTTTAAAAATAGGGTGTTTTAAGAATAACAGATAGCATTTCGAAACAGTTTTTAACTTTTTAAAAATAGGGCGTTTTAAAAATAACAGATAGCAATCCGAAACACAGAAATGACGAAGAGAAAAGAAATATCACAGAACTACATTGATTCGAGTTATAAAAAATAAGGTTTCCTTAAAAGTGACTCAACAACGCAAATAACGCTACCAGAATAAAGTAAGTACCTAACAGCAACAACAACAACAAAAATCCATTTGCAACGCATTCGATACTTCACATTGTAGAGACATTAGGATATTTTGGAAGGCGGAGAGATGAAAAATAAGCAACCGCCTTCGCCAGGAATAGAACCACGGACCTCTGGAATACCGGCCCCGCGTGTAGAACCACTACACCACGAAGGCACGCTAGGAAAGTGGCATAAATACCTTATAACATTAGCTAATAATAATAAATAAAACTCACTTTCAGTTACACGTTATCATCTTTTGCAGAATATATACCCGACATCTCGCTTAGAAATACCTGCATTAATTCCATCTCTCAAACAAACCAAATACTCTTTTTCCTTCGATTCTTTTCCCTCTATGCTATTTTTGCTTACCAAATTCACTTTCGTCAATTTTCCCAATCCCGCCCTCCCCACCCAATATGATACCCTTCAAACATAACTCCATGTATATTTCCCCACAAAACATTTTTAATCTGCCACAGTTTTTTTTTAGCAACTCCTAATGCCGATCATGTAAAATCATTCCCGCACTTAGCCAATCGTCATATCGCATAACACAACACATACTCTATTTACTCTTAGCTTCGCAAAACCACAAAGCCTTTCGAACAGACCTTGTAATTCGATATTTACATTTGCCTCGCGCAACTTTACATATCCACTCAAAACCATCTGTACAACTTTTCACTCTACGAATTTCATATACATTTCATAAATCGGATATTTATACGATCTTAAATCAACGTTTACTTTATACGCTAGCCAATCACGCCTCTTTTTTAATCCTTTCGCTCCAAACGATAAAAAAATTCGAAATTCAAATTTTTCATCCTTCCAACAATAGCTATATCGACATTCAATATTAAAGCATATTTGTAACTTGTGTCTAGAATGAGATGCACGTGCCCAAGTCTAAGGCAAGTAAATCTCATCTACGATTTCTGCAGCGTCTTCTAGGCTTTAGCCCCTGTATGTCAAACCGGCGGTGCCACAATGTGGCACGACGGAGTTTTAACTGCAACGCGCGAAGACGTATTAAAAAATTAAA